TTACACAGCATTATTAATATGATTTTGGAGGTTACAGAACTTTAAAATTACTTTAAAAAATGGAAAATAATTATATCATTTGATTTCAAGATATTTTGTATACCTTAAAAATAATTAATTCTATCCCGGGATTTTCCGGGATCCCGGGAAACAGTTCACTTTTATCCCGGGATCCCGGGACAAGCAAAAGACCGGGAAATGAGAAACCCTAGTTGGGTCTTGGTACTGGGACAAGTAAAAAGGTACTATATTAGTACAAAAGCACTAGGTAGAACAACACCTGGTACAAAACTAGCCCAAAAGTAGCCAACTGCTCCAGCACTTGGCTACTTTTGGGCTACTTTTTAAAAATTATTTGGCTACAAGGGCAAAAAACATCTGGCAACGCTGCTGTACACTCAGTGATCAAGAGGCTCAGCAAGGGTGAAGATGGCTTCCACAACAGATGGCATATCTTTCACAAATCATTTTATTAAAACAGCAAAATAATGAATTCCAGTTATCACTGAATGAAAATGATATATTTTTTACTCCTTACAGTATCTAAATTCTTGAAAAAATAGAGAGATACTCTTAATAGCTAAAGTAAATATTAATTTAACATTATATAAACATTTTGTAAAGCTTTTTAACTTTATTTTAAAGTTATCATTTGACATTCTAATAAAACCTTACAGTATATATGTAAGGTTTTAAAGCTATGTAAAACTATTTAATTTTGTTTGAACAAAGGTCATATGATGCATTTAAAGATAAAGCTAGAAAGTATTAAAAACATTTATATAATGTTAAATTACATTTTTTCTTGTTTATTAAAATCCAGTTAGTTCTGTGTACAGTACAGGTATGAAAGTAAATCAAACATTGCAAAGCCCAATATGTATATAAAAACATAACTAAACAATCATCTCAAATAATCCGGCTATACCTCTGCTAATTTAATGATTAAGTAATTACTTACTAAGTAATTTGCTACTAGAGGTAGACTTCAGGCACCATCTCTTTAACTAAATTAATAATTATAATTTCGATAATTTATTAAATAACTTATAATTATCTGGAAGAAAAGAACTGACCCAGAGTGGGGCTTAAACCCACATCCTCTGCTTGCCGTGCAAATTACTTATTATTAATCATTAATTAAATTAGCAGAGTTATAGCCCAATTATTTAAGGCAATTGTTTGGTTAAGTTTCTATAAAAGTAAAGACCATATCTGTTACAGAATGCTGCCTTTATCAGAAGAGTAAAATGTGGGCTAAGAAAAGCACAACAAATCTTATTTTTCAAAATATCTGAAAGCTCTTTGCTCCAGGACGATAAAGATCTACTTTATGCCATTGCTCTTTCTCATGTAGAATATAAGTAAAGGATTATTTTAGCTGCAAAAAGATGGAAAGAGTATTTATGATATTATCCTTAATATTTCCTTATCCTTATCCATCATGTTCTTACTAAAAATATAGATAATTTCCAATTATTAATTATACTGAATCATCTAAAGTTAAAATATTTTGCTTCTACACATTCTTACATATGGAAACCTTCGAAATAAACAAAAAGTAGAAAATTCCAATTCCAACAAATACAAATATTTAAACTTACACAAAATTGTATTTGTTTTCAAATTCAAACAATAATGAAACCAATAACCAATATTGTAACAAATCGAAGACTACGTGTAAGTGCATTAGCGAATTGAAATCGTCTTCTACAGCAATTGTCCAATAAACGGAAAGACGACTATTACGTCACTCACCCTACAAAATTTTCTATTGAGAAAGGAGTGAAATTGAACGAATTAATAGTTTCGTAAATTGCGTTTCTTTAAATAATATCAAAATATTAATTCATAATAAGTAAAATAAAACTGTTTAAACAGATTTTAAGAGCTGAAGAACGCTTATTCTTTCTTATATGTTGAAATGTTAGGGAATTTTCCTGCCGTCGTCATATTGATGACGTAAGCGTCATTATCATCGGAGACGACATTTTTGTTGCTTGTTAGAGAAAAGTTTCTATCCGAAAGAATCGGCTTTATTTCAAAATTTTGGTCATTAAATTAAACTGAATTACATCTAAAAGGATCATTTAATACTCGATCCTCAAAATCTAATTCGAAAAATTTATATTTGAGACAGAATTACGTCTCATTCTATCGGAATCAAAAACTATTGAATTCGACTTAGTTATTTATTACTACAATATTCATAATATAAATTCAAAATCGACATTGTTGTTTATCAGGAATGATAATGAAGCAAAATTATTAAAAATTGGTCGAAAATTTATACCTTTTAAAGGTAAAATACGCCGTAAATTCAGATTGCATTTTGTGAGGGATATAATAACAAGATGGCGGATGCTGGTGAGTAGTTTAGTTGTGTTACTTTGAGTGTTTGTACTTTTTATAGTTATTTATGGTCTCTCGTACGTTTTTTGTGTATTTTTTTAGTGTAGGAAGACAATCGGATTCGTAATATGCCGAGTTCTGAGGAACACCGATGCCGTAAACGTACGCATGATAAATCGCCTGACAGAAATCCATCAACTTCTGGTCACGGAAAATCCAAACGGCCACGAAATGAAAGTAGCCACAGGAAGATGAAAAAATCTGGTCATAAACCACATAAGAAAAAGCATTCCAAAGAACCCGAAAGACCCATTACTTCTCTCAAGCCCCTAGTGGAATATGACGATGTCAGTTCAGATTCTTCTCTTTTCTCAGACAATCCAGAGTTGTCGCCGGTTCACCACAAGACCAAACTGTCACCAGATAGGAGTCTAGATATGGAGAGAGAGAGAAGACGGAGGAGTAAACAGCACGACCATCCTCGTTCACCTAGTATGTCTCGATCACGCCATTCTATGTATATACCTGGAGAAATGGAAAGAACTAGACTTTCCTCACCTGATAGGAAAGAAAGAGATAGGAGAAGAGAGAAAAATTTAAGAGATGTGCCACCTGCTCATTTTCATAGAAGAGAGAAGGATTATCAGAGAAACTTTATGCCTTCTTATCGTGAAACTAATTTTGAACCAATTCCACATTCCTACATGGATTTAGATTATTATGAACGATTTGATCGCAGAGGAGATAGGGATAGTGACTGTGATCGATCTTATAGGAGGAGATCTCGAACTCCTGAAGCGCCACGTGCTTATCGTAATAGATCTCCTTCTCCTCCTAGTCCTCAGTTTCATATGTCAAAATATAGACGTTCCCCAGATATGTGGGATAGATCTCGGAATTTTTCAAGTCCCAGTCCTCCATATTACAGGAAGATGTCTTGGTCTAAAAGTCGTAGCAGAAGTCGAAGTCCAGTAAGGCAACATAGGTATGCATTATTTAAGGCATATATTATTAAAAAACTTTATAGATTTAATATAAGTAAGTTTTTTTTATTATATGAATGAAGTATATTTTTAAACAAATATAATTTTTGTTCACATGTTTACATAATAACCATTATAAAATCTACAAAATGTTATAGAGCATCTTCCAGAAAAGAATGTTGTTATTGTAATTATGCTAATTATCATCTGAGAATGTTGTAATATATATTAAAACATTGGAAAACTTTCACATTTGCCTGCTACAATTTCTCATTTGGAAAAGTTTCACATTTGCCTGCTACAATTTCTCATTTGGAAAAGTTTCACATTTGCCTGCTACAATTTCTCATTGTGTGCACCTCATATCACTAAGCACAAATCCAACCAATACTCAAATTCTTCCTACACTCACTACTGTATATTTATTTTCACTCATCACAGCAGCTGCAATTCTTCAGATTACACATATTGCACAATGACAAATGATTCCAACTTTGCAAACTGCAGAACACAAAATGCCTTATTCTGATTGCTTGTTGTGTTTTCTGTTTTGTGCTAGCACACTTTTTTCAAAGAGTGATTTATCACACTGGATTAAACACTATTTAATCTAGTGTGATAAGTCCATGTTTGGGATTAGTGTGCTAACACAAAACGTACAAAACAAAATACCTTCTCTGCACAGTTGCCATTTTTGTTTGTGGTATTTCCTAGAAATGGTAGATAACAAAGCATTTGAATTCAGGTGGGAGAGGAAACTTGGAGAGTTAGTCTTATTGATTGGTGTACATCGTATATTTCAGATTAATAATTAACGTAATTACAGTAATTTATAATAGTAGCATTCATTTTGGAAGATCCTCTAATGATTTTGCAATCATCATTAGAGGATCTTCCAAAATGTGCATAATGAAACCATTAACAATTGTTTCACTTGTTACTTTATTCATTTACAATGAAAACTTATCAACATACTTATCCAGCATAACGTCCAAGTGTAATTTTAAAGATGACTAAAATAATCTGTATTTTCAAACTCTGAATGAATAATAAGTGCATATACAGAATGATGGTCTTATATGCTTACAACATGCAAATAAAATATAGCAATTTTTAAAAAATGCTTATAATGAGATGATGTAATGTATTTTGAACAAACTACTATCATTTCAAGATCTTGTTCAAAACAGAAAACACAAACTCAATGTTTCTGCCTACTTTCATTTTTAAAAAACATGTTTAATACAATCATTTAGGATCAGAGTAACAGAAGAAAATGCAAAATTGTTACCAGCTATAGCAAAATATTCGTAGTAATTTTTTCATAAACTGTTGTGCTTCATTTTTAAATGATTGTATTGTGTCTAAAACAATTTCTTTAAGCTGTAAAAGAAAAGTTAATTTTTTGAATTACTGTTACTTTTTAACTGCATGTTGTATGTCGTAGGTGCACTAGAATAGCATAAACTGAGATAACAATTTATTAGTAATGCTTACCAATAGAGAGTGGAACTTCTCTCTCTTTCTTTCTTTTTTTTTTTATACCTCAAAATATCTCTGACAAGTTGATGCTTGGGTTCTACAAGGTATCTGAAATTTGCAGAAGGAATGTTGTACCATGCTGACATAACAGTATTGCAGAGCTGTGCCAGTGTAGTTGACAGCCTATTTTATTTCATCTCAAAGATGCTTGATTAGACTGAGATCTAGAGACTAGGGTTTCTCATTTCCTGGTCTTTTGCTTGTCCCAGAATTCCAGGATAAAAGTGAACAGTTTCCCAGGATCCTGGGAAATCCCAGGATATAATTAATTATTTTCAAGATATAAAATAAATCTTAAAATCAAATGATATAATTATTTTTCATTTTTTAAAGTAGGTTTAGTAAAGGAGGTTGCAGAACATATTAAATGTTCTGCAACCTCCAAAATCATATTAATAATGCTGCAATATATATTAAAAATTACCTTTGAATTATGTAGAAATTTTCACAAATAGAAGAAATTTATTAAAGTTTGCTGGAAACTACATACAACAAAAATAAATAACTTTGAATTGAGTTAAAAATTTAAAGAATAAAGTGAACTTAGATCAAACTTCTAAATTAGAAGGTAATTTTCAATATTTAAATAAAACATAATACAAAATATTTTTGTAAATCAAACATGGTCAAAATGCCCTTTCCAATTCAATGGATGTGGGTGGAATCATCTTTAATGCATTTAAGAGAAGACAAACGTTACGTGTTTTTTCACCCATAGCTTTGAAGATTTCTAGTTCGTTTTTAAGATGCGTTGCAGTACTTCTTTTGTCTACCTCAGCTGCTTTAAAAGCGGTATCAAACTTATAGCCCGATTATTTGGCAGTTCATTTGGCTTTAATTAATAATCAGGTTTATGAAGAAAAACTTCATACTTGCAAACTTTGTACTTGTTTCTATCCTTGCCCAATTTGCACAACATGGCATAATGCAATTATTGCAGCTACTGGGCACAGTTAAAATTAAGACAGCATCAGTGCAATTATTCAAGATATTACAGGTTCTGACAAGTAAAGAATTTTCAGAGTCCTGCCACAAGTACATATTGATTATTGACAATCTGTGAGATGTCATAACAAGCAAAAATTTAAAAAACTATTAAGCAGGCTTAAAATTAATAAATACAAATGTATTCTGACAGTTAATTATACTTTCTATCTACAAAATTTCCTTAACCTTAACACAAAAAAAGAAAAAAGTAAACTTTTAAGAAATTTGCGGGATTTCTTGGGTTAAAAAAACAGCTTGGATCCCGAGATTCCATTTGAGTAACCCTACTAGAGACTGAACATACTGAAGTAAGATTCATTTATTATCAAACTCCTGGATTCATTCCATAGTGACATGGTCTTTGTAACATGGTGCCATTGTCCTATTTAAAGTGTCTTATATGTATCATGTATATATGGTATGTCTGGATATATGGTAGACTTGAAAAGATGTGCTTGGTTTGCAATATAATTTTTGTTGTTCAGGGATGTCTCAATTTGCATTAAAATCTCAGAGCACCAAGACAACATTCCCCATACTATTACCAAACCACTAGCAGCTTGAAATGTTGACACATAATTATGGACTTACATTGCTTGTTGCTGATGCAGAAGGAATTGAGTTTGATAACACCAAACGGTGATTTGATCTTCATTGCTCCAGTGTCAATGTTCACATGACCATTGGAGTCATAAACATACTTTTTTCTGTTGGACAACAGTGACACAAAATCATCTGCAATTATTGCTTGCTTTTGCCACTATATGATGAACTGTGCATTCTGAGATGATTGTTAGCAATTCCCTCTTATAAACAAACCAATTGAAAGGCCCGATGCAGGCATCGGGGCATACTAAATTACAAATAAAAATAATAATATGCTGAATATTATATTATAAAAATATAAAATAATTTAAATTGTTAATTTAAATAATAGCTAGGGACGCCCCTAGTGGCCATTTTAGACATACAGTGACAGAAAGAAAAAAAGAAAATCTGGTTTTTCAGATTTGCATAGTATGATTTGATTTGCTGAAATATGGTCACTCAAGAATCCTAGACACAGATCTCTTGCCATTCTTTATTCATCCTTCTTGTCAGAAGCTATTGTTACCCATCATTGCTGCACAGAGGATGGTCTGGGCGGCAATGATGATTTGGTTTTTACAATATATTTTGGCCACTGTTGTGCTTGAAAAGTCCAGATTTGCAATTTGGCTAATGTTAGAATGTGCTTACCTTGTACCCATAATTATTCCACATTCAAAGTCACTTGGACTATCTGTTTTGCTTATTCTTATCTGGACTTAAATAAAAACAATCTTTAACATGTCAAGCTATGTAATTTATAGTATAGTGGACATAATTTTAACTTAATATATTTATACCAGTGATTCCCAAACTTTTTCGATCCACTGCCCCCTTTGTTCCATAAAGTTATACAGTATTCAACATCCCTTAACCCATTTTCTCTTGTGTGAGAAAGGATTGGAAATAATCTTAGGAAAACTTTTCTATGAATCTCACACTTTGTGCCCTTACCGTACATTGTTCTCAACATCTGGAAACCATTAAATGCAATGCTTTTTTTTTTTTTTTATCCGTTTAACAGAGGAAAGGGAATGGCTGTCAGTGACCCTGACTTTTGCCTTTGGTCACCGTTCAGTACCCTGCCTTCGTCACCCCCCCCTAGATTTACTCACTGCCCACAAGGGGGCATTATCGTTCACTTTGAGAAACGCTGATTTATACAAATATTACAAATTATACATTGTATATTTCATATATACAATAATCTGAAAAACTGTAGTACTGTGTTTTTTTAAAATCCTATTTTTCATTATGACTAAAGCCGTGGTCACACCATGTGATTTCCAGGCGACTGCAACTGCGTCTTCTCGTGGTCACACATTGTTCTCTGGCATTGAAACTCAGAAACACGTGACCCTATAATAAACCAATAAAATTACAGTAGCTTGTTTTTGACTACTTTTGTGAGTTTACCGACAGTTTATGTTCTATATCAGAGTATTTATGGAATTTTAGCCACTTTTCTTATTAAAATGGCCAGCAGTTCCTATTCTGCAATGAATAAAAGAAAAAAAGACAAACATTTTGATAGAGTCAGCAAGAATACATGAAGAGATAAAATCTTTGATAAAATGAAGAATTAAAATCCCACAGGCATTCGTGAATAAGCTTGATCAATGTCAATTCTGTAAAGTATCAATCCTCTAACTTTTCGCCATGATGATGAATGATTTTCAATGTTGTCATCATATGATGTGACATAAAGGCATTTGCTGATTGGATGCAATCAACACAAGCAGAACAAACTTTTTGTTTTTAGTCGCGGTTGCAGTCACACCAGTCTTCGAAGGGGGTTTACTAGTTAACGAGAACAGTCGTCGTGGTTGCAGTTGCCAGCTCATCTGGAAGTCGCAAGGTGTGACCACAGCTTAAGAGATGCCTC